GATCTTCTGCTGGAGGAGTCCAACGTGCAGCCCGTTTCTACCCCTGTAACGGTGTGCGGCGACATACACGGACAGGTAAAACCACTCCTCAGAACATTCCAGCACTCCCTCTCCAGACGTGACTAACGCAGACCATTGTCCTCTTATCGCCTTACAGTTTTACGACCTTTGCGAACTCTTCCGAACTGGCGGCCAGGTTCCTGACACGAATTACATCTTCATGGTGCGTTCGGGGCCGCCTCTTTTCCAACGTTTGGAAGAAGCTACGCCTTTCGGCACAGCGCCTTTTGCAAACCTCTTGTCGTCCGCAGGGCGACTTCGTGGACCGGGGATACTACAGCTTGGAGACGTTCACCTACCTGCTGGTGCTGAAAGCCAAGTGGCCCGACCGCATCACCCTGCTGCGCGGGAACCACGAGAGCCGGCAGATCACCCAGGTGTACGGCTTCTACGGTGAGAGCCTGACCATCCACAGTGTAGAATGACGTCATCTAAACCGGATTCATTTATAAGTGCCGTCTCTGTTTTGTCTGACAGATGAGTGCCAGACCAAATACGGGAATGCCAATGCCTGGCGTTACTGCACAAAAGTGTTCGACATGTTAACCGTTGCAGCTGTGAGTATGAGATTTGAAACCACAGTTTTAGATGATTTTATTTATTTATTTCATTTATCTAAGTAAGTGATTGAAAGACTAAAGTTTTGAAGCATACCTTGTTATTTCTATAATGCATCTGCTGTGGGTCTTCAGTTGTGAAACACGAGTCCTGTTCAGACAGGGTGCTAACAGTTATACTGGCTAGGGATGTCCCGATAATATTAATTTCCCTCTGGGATTATTAAAGCATTTCTGATTCTGATTCTGTTCCAGCTTTTTGCACTTCCGATCCGATCCCGGCCAATTAGAGCTTGTATTAAAGTTTAAAGTTATTTAGCCTCTTACTTAGTTGTCAGCCTCATAATGAACAGGGATTTAGTATTATAACAACTTAATGGTTTGGACACAGACCTGTGGGTTAGGAGATGCTGATGCTTGTGTGGGATCGCACTTGAAAAAGAACTGGATCGGGAGTCTGGATTGGAATTTTCTCCTGCCCGCCGATACGCATTTCTTTTGCGAATCCGATCCAAATATCGGATCGGGACAAGCCTAATACTGGCTGATTTGAAATGGAAGTTGATGCGACTGCACAGAAGTAGTTGACGTTTTCCACTACCTACTCAGCTCAACTCCACTTGTTTTTTTATTAATTTCAATTTTAGGCCAGGACCCCCTAACAGTTAGAGTTAGCTGCCCACATCTAAGTGTGTAGGTCTAAGAATTTAAGGGGAGTTGGTCTACTGTCTACTGTCACAGCACTTGAGGATTTGTATGACATTTGATTTAATTCTTTGCTGATAAAATGACAGAAGGCACATCTTTATCTGTCTGTTTCTGTCAGCTGATGGACGAGCAGATCCTGTGTGTCCACGGCGGCCTCTCCCCGGACATAAAGACCCTCGACCAAATCCGAACAATCGAGCGAAACCAGGAGATCCCTCACAAAGGAGCCTTTTGCGATCTGGTGTGGTCTGACCCCGAGGACGTGGATACATGGGCCATCAGTCCCAGAGGAGCTGGCTGGCTCTTCGGTGCAAAGGTTACAAATGAGGTAGGTTGCAACCATTCCATGCGTTATTACGGTCAAACTGACTAAATGGAGCAAGCACATACTGTCTTTTATTTTATATTCCCACACTTTGGAGAAAAAAGAAGAAAATTACTACACACAGTTGTGTGGATAATATTGAATTATTAGTTTTCTGTTAAAGTGATCATGTGCGTCTGGAATGCAGTGTCACGGTCTTTTTTTTATTTCCAAACCAAATTCTTTCAAAAAAGAAAAGGCCGTCGGTGGCAACAGGTGATTTATGTTCTTGACACACTTTCTTTTTATTTCTTGTAAAATTATAGGGAAATAATAACCAAAAATTCATTATTTTGATGCAAATTAAGAGTCAAAAAGTCGGTCGAAAAGTAATACAAAAGTGTGGCGTGGTAAAAAAAAAATCATTGTCCCCAAACCTCCCGTCATCACACCTGAGATTCACAAACAAACCACAACCCCCTTCCACACACACCTCTCTCCCAAATGAATGGGAGAAGCTTTAAAAAATGACCAAATAAATCATAATCATTCCAAACAATTCATTTCAATATGGTTCTTTGCAAACTGAAATATATTTTAACTACTTAAAATGAAACAGAACATGTGAATTACAAAAAGTCAATTTAAATGGCCACAACATGCAAATTATGTAGGGATTTGGGTTGAAGAGTGGACTTTAAGACTTTCTTTGAACCCCTCCTGACCTGTTTTCTACTGTCCATCCTGCTGGAGAATGGCTCCTACTGTGGAGAAAAACTGTTTCCATGTGATGGATGTGACAGGTCGGCATAAAAGTTTAGTTATGCTGCAGATGTCAAGATCATATCCAGTTGAGTGCCTGGATACCGAAGCAGGTCTCACTTCAGATTAGTGGACTGTATTAGGATGACTGTTTCTAAATGTACTTGTCTGTGGTTTTACTTTTCAACCGTTGGTCAGAGTTTGTCTCCATAAAAAGATGGGCTTTAGTGAGTAATGCACAACCACTACGAAGATTAATTAAGGAAACACTGCTTTGATGCATTTGGCTGCAGCCACGTGATTGGCTGATGATCTATTTCTGTTATCAAGGAGTTTAGCAGCTGTACCTAATAAAGTGCGAGTACACGCTTAGAAGTCTTAATAGTAATTCAACACACCACGCTGCATTATATTTAAAACCCATAAGATATATGGGTTTTAGTTTCCAAAGACTAAAACTTAACATGCCTCTTTGTTTTATTTTGTTAATTTTAATTTTAATTAAATTTTAATTGAATTCAACTTTGTTGAATTTCCCCTTGGGGATCAATAAAGTATCTATCTATCTATCTATCTATCTATCTATCTATCTATCTATCTAT